AATAAGTTTAATAATATGCTTGATCCATTTTTTAAATTTACCAAATATAGACAGATCAAATAGAGGAAAGAAATTATGAAAAAAAAAAGAATATAAAATTATAATTTACTTGAGAATTGAATATTTGAGTAAATTCTTGCGCATAAACAGGAACTCGTGCATCACGTGCAACCCAAAATCGATGATCTTCTGTTGCAACCACAAAAACCACTGATTTCTGACATTGTTTATCTAATGACCATTTTCGAAGAATTTGATTTGCCATTTCTTTAACAGCCTTCAATATTTGGTTTTTTCTTTTTAATTTCATGACATATTTATACGTAATCATTTCTTTTCAATAACGAATCCTATAATTTTTCATCCTAACGTTATGATCAAAAAAATAAATAAATAAAATAGAAAAAAAAAATCGAACACCTTAAATTTTACAGTTCAGGATACGAAAATATCACAAGATGCAAAAGTATTGTACTTCATCAAACTTAGAGATATTATTATGTAAATGGAGAAAAAAGAAAAAAAAACTGCAGCAATAAGGAAGAGAAATTTGACATGTATTTGAGAAATGAATGGATTAATTTCATCGTCAGATATTCAAAAAATAAATCTTTTTACAACCACTAATAATGATACTAATGCTAATGCTAATGCTAATATTTGTTTTTTTCTATTCACTTAATAATAATCTATAGTGCTAGTGTTTAGTATTAGTATTAGCTAATACTAATACTAATGCAAAATACTAATACTACTATCGAATATCTTTATCTAATACAAAATCAAGAATGAACTTACCGCATCAGAATTTCCTTGAATATGTTTAACAATAGCCATTGCTGCTGTAATTCCCTTTTTTTGACAAAAATCGGAAGCATGATCCTATAAATGGACATTGGATATGATAAAATGTTTGAATACAAATTAAAGTAAAAATTTTCAACTATTAAAATTCTTTCCCATTTTATCACGTTTAAGTATTATTAAAATTATACTTATAATTTAATGAAGAAATGAAATAAATGATGCAAATTTGATTTGATAATTTAAAATATGAAATTTTTCAGAAAAGAAAATAACCATAATCAGTGAGTAATGATAATAATAGAAAACATTGTCATATCAAAAACATTATAACAAATATATGAATATATATATGCATGGAAACCTGTCGAGTTCGAGATTCCAATTGATGTAATTCATGATTTAATCGATATCGTTGTGAATCGGTCAAAACTTCATCCGGATCACAGATATTTGATGTTGTTCGCATACGACATCGTTTATAGTCACCAGCTGTTGGATTTGGAAAATTTGATACATCCCATTCCAAACAATAAGAACTGGAAAGAATCAGCAACAATAAGACCAATTGTAATATACCAATCGATGATGAACCCATTTCTATAAAATATCAATAGATAATTAATCAGAAATGGAAAATTTTTTTCAAGTAATTTAATTAAACGATCGAAAAAAAACAAAATATAACTAATGAGGGTAATATGAGATACTCGTAAAATAGGTTCATATTTTAAATACTCATTAACAACGAACATTATATATATATATATATATATATAAATTGATAATATTCAAATCATTTGATTTGCAATTAATTAAAATATTAGCAAGGAATTATTCATTTACTGTTTTATCAAATCTTTTGATCAATCTTTTGATACTAAACCTAATAAAATAGAGAATAAACGAATAACATACTTTATAACAAATTAAAAATTAAGTACAATAATAAATTACATTAAAGTATACTACATCTACACAAGTATACAATACGTCATAGTTATTATCAATAAACTCTTTTTGTTATAAGTACGAAGTATAAGGAAATTATTAATATTACTATAAATAAATAGGAAATGATAGATAGTGACAGAAAATGATATTAATTAGTACGATGAAAATAATTAAACATTAATCATAATGTAAAAAATGTTATTGTTGCTGATAATAAAAAGTGAATTTTGAACTTTCATTACTATTTTTGCTTCAGATGAAAGTTTCGATTAATTTTCGCCAACAGCTTTAGTAACTTTTAAAGGCATATTTAAAACAATCATTTTAATTTTTGTCAAAAACTTTCATTCAAAAAAATCATTGAAAAAATTGCTGATAGCAAATAAAAATGTTTCGAACTTAAAAGTTTCATTTTTATTTATATTTTTATCAAAAAAAAAAAAAAAAAAACATTAAGGAAAACGTTAAATAATATGAAGAAATTCGAAAAGGAAAAAGAATTTTTTTAAATATTTCATTTACAATAAATAGTAATAGCTAACATTTAAATAGTACTAAGCAAATCATACAAATAAAGTGCACTGATTATAATGACAATAAAATGTAGCATTTTGTTTTGAAAAATAACATGTATCAAACATTATTATCGAGTATCAACCTGTTGCTTAGCAACTTTTGCAATAATTAAATAAATAAGCCAATTATCTATAAATGCAGAACACTCTAATTGTGCTGAATGGATGAGCAGATGTCATTAA